AGTGTACTATTCATAGGTATGCTTTCACTAGTGTATAATCACCTGAAAATAGGAATCGTTGTGCTTTTGCTGCCTTAGAATGAGCTGTTGTCATCTACAGGGGGAGGGGGTCCGCCACCAACAACAAGATTCAAGCTGATATACAGTATGGATCTCACAGGCCACACATGCACACATTTCATCTTTCATAACTGAGTCATTGTCTTGTGGAGTTTAGACCTTTTAGATTGTTTCTTTTCTTCATGCACCTTTGAAGTAAGTGAAGTTGTGCAAGAAAATCCAGTCACACTTTAATACTGGCCACGATTTACAATACATTTTTCTTGTATGAACTGGGTAGCAATAAAATACTTAACAGTTTGAGTTTTACATTTTGTTCTATGTTTTCCAAAAAAAGCTTTATACCTTTCTGTACCCCTGCAGTTTTGGTAGTATACCGTAACGCTTTCCCTAAATGTTGGACTATTCCTTTAACCAAGGAACAGTTATGTTTATTTTAGAGTTGCTTCACATTTAGAGCATATTTATCCAAGACTGGTGGTAAATAAACTGTGATCTTTAGTGTATAGTTGCAAGTTGAAGAAATTTTGATAAAAGTTTTGCATTAAAAATTAAATGAATAAATTAAAACTATAAAAGTAATTCTGAAAATACTCATTAGCGGCAGTGGAAATAAATACATTTACTCAAGTATTGTTCAGAAGTACAAATTTGGGACTTTTACTTTACTTGAGTCTTTTCTGTTCATGCCACTTCCTACTTCTACTCCACTTCCAGCAGTAAAGATTGTACTTATTTACCTCACTTCATTTATCTCACAGCTTTAGCTACAAGTTACTTTACAAAAATAATACTTTTGTGCAGAAAACAGACAAAGATCGTATAAATATGATGTTTTGTTAAAAAATAATTATTTTGAGAATTGTTCAAGTCATTTTTAATGCAAAATATTTCATGGTTCCAGCTTCACAAATGTAAAGATTTGCTGCTTTTTCTTTTAATACTTTTAAGATTTGAACTGTTGGTTGGATGAAACAAGCATTGTAAAGGTGTCACGTTGGGCTTTGGGTAATTGTGGCACCATTTCTCGCTATTTTCAGGATTATTACAAACCAAAAAAAAAACTCTTGATTAATTGAGAACATTAATCAGATGATTAACTGAAATTATTATTAGTTGCAGTTCTTCACAATATAGTTCAAAATGAGCTCTGACTCAACCAACTACAACAGATAAATCCTGCTTTTACATTGATCCACAAGTTAAAATATTCTTCTTATTTTAATACTGTTGAACTGTGTTAAGCCCAGCTGGCAGTCATGACTGACTTTCTGTCTGCAACATATAACAGCTGTTATGTCATCTGAACAAGGACGTCTTAGAGTCACATCAGATGAATGAAGACTGCATGTACCAAGCAAGTCATGTTACTGAATTCAAAAGAGACTCTGAATCACAACTAAATCAATAATAACAAATTTGGATATCACAGCTGTGATCTTATTTATTGGGCCTTTTATGTTTGAGCTTCATCATCCCAGCGTTGTGATGGATAAAATCTATTTTGCTGCATAATTTGCTAGACTACCTGTTCTGTGTCTGATGTAAATGGTACACACAGTAAGTAAGTTTAAAGGTGTTAAGTTGTACTTGTCAAATAAAGAGATGTGGTGTCGAAGCATAAAGAAGCATGAAATGGAAAAACTCAAGTAAAGTACAAGTACCTCAAAACTGTACTTAACTACACTGATTGTACTACGTTACATTCCACCACTGGAAATCTGTTTCTGTATGTTAATGCTTTTTCAATCCAGGCTGCTGCTCTGGGTTTGGACACTAGGTGGTAGCAGAAGTAAGCAGGAAAATGTACTCAGGCGCAGCCGGGGTCTTAAAGTAGTATAGTTTACATCACATTATTCTTTGAAAACCTTGTCTGTGCCACAATGTGGTCGTTTGTACCTTTGTCTCATAAATGCTCTCAATCTTTTTACACTTTAAAAATGCCAATTATTCATGTTTGAAGTTCCTGAAAAGTTGACATTTTTGAGATAGAAGATCATATCGTGTAAAGGATAGGTTCAAATTGTTTGACATGTATTTCCACTGGTGGTGAAGTTTCCAGATCTTTTTCTTAAGTAACAGTACCCCATTACAAGTAAAGGTCCTGCATTAAGCTGAAAAACGACTGCTGTGAATGTCACTATTAAATATTGTATTTCTTATCTCCTTGTGACCATTAGAGTCAGGAGGAAGAGTGATTACAGTGAATATTGATGCATTTATTGTATCATTTGTGAATCTATCATTTAAATATAATCTAAATGTGCAAAGCAACTCCAGCCATCAGATAAATGTAGTGGAGTAAACAGTTTAATATTTCCATCTGAAATGTGGTGGAGGATAAGAAGAGAGTCTCACAAGCGTTGATGAACTGAAGTACAGTTTTGAGTTTTTATGTCCTTGTCCTTCAGTGTAAGAACCTTAAAGTAAAGAAAACAGAACTTGATGTTTGGGGGAATTTAAAACTGCAAATGACTAAAAGTGTTATTTTTTTATTTAAGTTAGAAATAAAAAGCACCTCTCTTCTCTTTAATGTTATTTATTGTTCCACCTATCGTAAATATTACCTGCTCATCTGTAAACGTTTGAAATTTTGTTTGTAAATCCAGAAATCCTTTACATACAGAAGGGCATATTGGGCAGCATGGTGGTGTAGTGGTTAGCACTGTTGCCTCACAGCAAGGAGGTTCTCGTTTTGAATACCACATTGGCCAGGCCATGTGTTTGTGTGGGTTTCCTTCGAGTGCTTTGGCTTTCTCCCAGAGTCCAAAGTTCAGAGGTCAATTGGTGACTTTAAATGTCATACCCTGCCCCCCGCCCAATGTCACCTGGGATCAATGGATGGATACAGAAAAAAGGATAATTGAAAACAAGGAATTCAAATGTTGCTTTGACCCTGACCACGCTGGAGACAGATAACAGGATTCCTAGCAATGAACACATGCAGTACATGCATGCATAGGTCCGCACCTTCATTTCATTCTCAGAGGGAATCTGCCGTGAGAGAATAAGGAACATTAAATGCAGCTTTTAGTGGAATAAAGAAAAAGGATAAGCTGCAATAAAAAGCAAATGAATAATATGTAGCTTTGGAGTCTATTTTTTAGATTTGGGATTTACAGAGCTGTGCTAAAACAGTTACATTGTGTCTCTTATGAATCAAAGTGAAAATGCTCTGTGGCCCCTCGCCACCATTTACATCTGAAAGCAGATGTATTGAACAAGGAACAGTTTGTTTTCTTGTCAGATGTTTTGCTAAATGAGATTAGTCTCAGCAGAAAAAAACCCAAGACATTTAATTTGCTTCTGACTCATCAAATCTCATTTATCCTAAAACAAGCTTTTGAGAAAAGCTTGTGTGGTGAGATAATTCTGTTTGCTTCCATTGTGAGTCAGTCCAGTCTTCTGAAGGAGAACATCGTTCTCTCTGCTGGGACATGACCGGTATCTGATCCTGGGTCAGCGGGACAGGGCTGGGGTCATTAGCTT